ATATAAAGTTTAAACGGAACAGTAGAGAAAATCCGATCTAGAATGACAAAACAGACTAAATATCCACTGGAAAAAATCCCAATGGGATTTTTTCCAGTGGATATTTAGTCTGTTTTGTCATTCTAGATCGGATTTTCTCTACTGTTCCGTTTAAACTTTATATTATCATTATTTGCATTTATGTGGCTGCTCGTTGTTCTTATGGGTTTATCCCATTTGCCTTTAAATTTATATATATATATATATATATATGTATGTATATATGTATATATATGTGTGTGTGTGTGTGTGTGTGTGTGGGTGTGTATGTGTGTGTGTGTGTGTGTGCACATACATATACACAATACTTAATCAAACACTTTTAAGCATTAACATTTTAACACTATCACAAATCCTATGGTTTCAATTCCTGTTTATTGGTGACTTTACTTATTATAAACAAATATTTATACAAAGAAAAATCATAATTAACACTTCATTTTATACGATCAACTAATGTATTTAAGAGCATTGTTATTATTAGTCTCAATGTTTCCTTGTGGCTGCTAGATTTAGTCTTTACCCCTATTTTTGTTACTCGTAAATCGCGGAGAACGCCATCCTGTGTACTAACTGGTTGGGGGCGCTTTTGTTCCAGCATCATCGTAGTCGTCCACTGTCGTAGTCTCGATCCTTTCGCCGGCGACGTTGGTGTCATCATACTCTGTGTGAGCGAGCATCAATATGGCGTTCACCCTACGTGTCGTGTTGGCAACATGTATGCTATTTATTTCATTATTTGTCGATGTACATTCCAATGATTTTAAAGAAAATAATATCCAGGATACCGTAGAACAGAAAGAATTTCGACAGAAAAGAGATAATTTGGGGGTTGCCGAGGCTCAGCAACAGGCACTTGAACAACAACAGCAATTTGGGGGAGTCAGAGTCAGAGCACTTTTACAGCAGCAGCAGCCTGTCGGCGGTGGGCAATATCCGCAGCAGTATGCCCAACAGGGGCTACGCTACCAACAACAGCAACAGCCTGGACTACCTAAGCTTCAAAAGGCCCGTGGAGGAATACAAAATTTAGCAGGCCAGCAGCAGCTGAATGGGCAAGTTGGTATTCCTGGTGCAAAGAAACTAACGAAGAAATTGGCGACGATAGGAAGCAAACAATTTCGAATTTCTCAGCACCCAGCGTGTCTCGAAGATGTTCAATTACTTTGTGGGAAAGATTATAAAGGAAGTAATTTTGCTGTGCTAGATTGTCTGCAAAATGATCGTGCTGTAAGTGAGGTTCCACACTGACTAGTGCATTTGGGTGTGTGTGCGTGCGCGTGTCAATAGGCTAGGCAGACGTTCCAACCCCTGAGGTTGAAACTGAATTCAGAAGACTGGATGGGTGCTCATGAAGTGTGCCTCCCCACCACCCAAAATTTTAAAAATTAGTTCTTTTCAGTGATATTGGAGTGTCAGAAGCCGACATCGTTGATATAATCAGCGCATTAAGGAAAAATTGGCCTATTAAACAGTAATTTTTTTTGCATTTTGGGCCTCTTTCTGAAAATTTGACAAAATTGAGTAGACTGCATGGGAGATTGCATGAATACTGTATTTTAGAGACTCACGATCAAATCAGTAGGGTTGGAATGTATGCTAGGCTAGTACACCATAATATAAAAAACTTTTGTACAAAAATTTCTCTCAGCTTGTAAAATGTAGACCCCCTTTCAATGTTTACATTGGCTTGGTTGAAACGCTGGTGGCGCACTCCACTGATAAGCAAAAGGTTCGCCCAGTATAGGACAAATTTACGGGAAATCAGTATACTGGTTGTCTTTATTTTTGTTGTGCCAAAAATCTGAAAGCTACATTGATGAAATTCACATATGGCATAGATATATTAAGAATCGACAAAAAAATATAAATCTAAGAATTTAAAAATATTATTAATATAATTACCATATTAATATAATTACCATGATATAAAAAACTTGTACTTGTGTACAAAAAATTCTCTCAGCTATTGTTACTAATTAAAAAATTGATAACCTATTTAAGACTTTACAGTGCATGTGCATGTCGCCACATTCTTTCACTTTCTTGACCTACTGTAGCGGCCTAGCACTTGGCAACATCCGAAGTGATTAAGACAAAAATGACTTTAAGAATTGAATAAAAATAGAAAATATATAATTCCTTTTTTTGTTTGATTCCTAAGGAGTCGTTCACAATTATCAACATTTTTGCTTGTCTACAAACAGTACTCTCTTTTACTCCCCTTTTCTCCCCTCTGAAAGTGTACATGAAATGTGTTGATTTTGCAAAAGCATTCTCCATATTTTTGTGAAGTCAACTAAAGCAATGTACGTGGTTGCGTAAAAATGAATAATTATATTCATGTATAATTTTACCAATTATTTTACATATTGCATGTTATTTTGTAATTTGTTGCATTTTTATGCATATGTAAAAGTGTATACATTTATCTACCCCCTCCCCCTTGTATACTATTTGTACACTTGCGAATACAATGATTATGTTGAACGACCACTATGGGGGGAAAAAAATAAGGTTTAGGGGATGAAGAACATATTTTTTTTTTATTATGACCTTATCAATAAATATGAACTTCAGTATTTAGTTAGTAAATTGTAGGTTTGTGAGGAATTCTATGAAATTTTGAATCAATGTGACTATAGCTGCCACATCATCAGTTCATCATGCTTAACTGCATGGAATATAATTGACTTTCCAAAGGCATTTTCAAGGCATTTTCATGCCATTTGAAAATGCCTAGTCAACCATTTACTGTGTATTCAGAAAACAGTATCATTCAACCTGTTCTTTCTATTCAATAAAAAAATAGTGTGAGAACCATATTGAAAATAGGTCATCTATACATACAGTAATCAATGCCTACTCAAAGGTTAACATTATGTTACATGATTTTATTTGCAGGATAATTCACAAATTTCAGATCCGTGCAACAATGTAAGTATCTGATTCAGTGTAATTTTATTTATGGTATTAGTATTTTTTTAATTTATAAAATAATTTTACACATTGTGTATCTTATTGTTGCAGTATGTTTTGACTAATTTTATTTATGTTATTATTAGTATCTTGTATTGTAATTTAAAATAATTTACACTTTGTGTATTTTTATTGTAGCAGTATGTTTTGACAAATTTTAATAATATAACATTGCACAACAGTTTTTAAGTAGCAGTATTCAACTGTGAGTACATTATAGTAGTAGTCTTGCTTATTTCCTGGTACTTATGTCGGTTTTTCATTTTGTTAATTTATTATTAATTAATTTTGTTGATTTACTGTATATTTCAAATGATATTTGCTGAAAGAAAACCTTAAAAATTATTAGGAATTACATTTTTTATTAAAATATCTAACAGAAGAAAACTACTACATTGTTGTAGAAATAATACAGTTAATGAGCATCAAACATACATGGGTAATGTACTGTATGTCTTTGGGTCATGGTTTACAGTATATTTGTAATTTATAAAATATTAATGCAGGCTACACATTAGTTTTATTCCTTTGAAATTCTATAAACTATTTGTTTATTATGCATTAAATATATGTCTAAAGAGAAAATATTACTGTTTGATATGATCAAGTAGATCCACTTGAGTAACTTTACTGTATGGACAGCATAACCTGAGTGAACAAAATAACCACAAATTCATTTCATAATATTGCTATATCTCATAAATATTAATTAGGAAATAACAACATTTTATTGGTCAATTTCACTCAGTATGTGGTGCGGTAACTGTAGTTTTCCTTTGCATGCCTATTTGCGCAGATGCGTAAAAATCATACTCAAAATTGACTATTGCACCCCTGGCTATGTGGACCGTATGCAAACACTAATTTTTCCCTCATGATCGAAATAGCTACTGTATGTGTTCTATACGAACGGTTTACTGCTTAATATTTATGAGGTATACATTAGTTTAAAAACAAATACAACATGGTATTATTTCAGTATAAGCAATGAAGTCTACTATACTTCCCTCGGTATTGGATGGGTTGGACTACCTCCCTCCACTTCGCATTAATGAACACCTATGAAAGTACAACATGCTAATGTACATCACCTCAATCCATGTTGTATTTGTAAAGGTTATGCTACTACATTATTTGATACAGAAACTGTTTTGTTGGTTTTGTTTGTTTAGTTTTTATGTCAATAGTGTGTCGAAGAAGATGGAATTTAATTACATAGATTTTAGCTTCTCATTCTCAGAAAATTGTATTGTTATGTAAACAACTATTTTTTATGTCTACAGTTTCTCTGGCAGTACAAGTTAAATTTGACAATGGATGTTAAGTTTGAGTCTGCTGCTGCAGAGGTTTGCAAAGTTGCCTTAACTAAGGTGAGACATTATTCTTAACATTCTTCCTTTGGCTTTTCCCTTCTATTAACAATATAATGTGACTTTAATTTAGGGTAATTCCGTGTCAAATCAACCAGAGGTCCCAGTCGACCGTCTCCGATTTTTATGAAACTTCTTAAAAATGATCCACTATGTGAAAAATCAACATACACAAATGATTAGCCCTACTGGATATGTAGTTTCCAAGATATTGACGCCCCAAACACGGCGGTTTCATACGCACTATATTGGGACAATAAGTGTTTTCAATGCGCCTTTCATATATTTACGCACCGCAAGCCTCGACCGAACACACTCATGACGCGATTGGGATCGTGCGAGCCATTTTTTGGTACATAGTAGAATTGTGCTAAAAATAATATGAGTATAATATCCCCCCCTTCATGTTCTGTTTGTCTAATTATTATATCAGCTACTAAACAAAATTTTTGCAATGCATAAATTTATATAAAAATCATGAATTTTAACAAGAAAAGTCTACAGTAAAAATGTAAACAAACAACGCCCTAACTCTGTAAATGCTAATATCGCTAAACATGGTCGTAATTATCGTCGTTTTACAAAATTGTGCAATTTTTCTGGATGTTAGCGTTGGTCGCCAATGAACAATCAGTGTCTGTTCTTGTATTCTGTGAAATATTGGCCTGACAACTTCTTCCAATTTTTAAAAATTTTCGATTGAAAACAGCAAATATTTTGGCTTTACTGGGCGTTCTTGACAACTCCACGGGCTCATACGCGCAATTTTACGCGTTGTTTATACATGCACTAGGCCTGCATTGAGTCCTAGATTTTATTGGGGTTTTGGATAGGCTTTGCTGCATTAATGTTGTTAAATGTTAAAAGTATAACAGTATAATATATATATTATTTTTATTCAGCTAATATATGATAAATACAGGCTTGCATTGAATAACATTTTATATTTTGATGGCGATAATTGGGATGGCTCTAAAATAAAGAAAATTTAAAATATAAATAAATGTAAACAATAATCCAATATTCATCTGTGAAAATAGCCAGTATCATTTACAATCATCATTCTTCATACACCTCAGTTTACAAATAGACACAAACATTATGTTCTACATGTTATATTTTTAATGAACAAAATAAACAAGAATCCAAATTAAACTGAAAGGTCCACTGATTAATCTCAGATACAGATAGAATAATACATACTCAAAGCTTAGGGATTCAATACTTTGATATTAATTATGTCATCATCAGGAATCCAAATTAAAGGTATGCAATCAGGTTAATACTGACAGTTATTTTTGTACAAATTGCTATTGCACTTTATAACTAGAAAATTCAATATATTCACACTATATTGTAGAACTGCACAACAAAATATGTTATTGCGCTTTGTGTTAATATGTGCAGTAATTAGTATGTAAATTTATTTTCACAAAAAGGGTATGGGGTTTTGAACAATCTGTTCTCAATTCAGGAAAAATATAAATTTCCCATCATCTGAAAGTCCCAGGTCTCTTCAAAAATACAAAAAGAATGCTAAACAAAACTGTAACAGCAGGGATGCAGAGACAAAATGACGAGTCCATTTGTTTCCATGTAGCTTGCATATCGATTAAAACCGGATAGATGTAAACATATCTCACCATAGTATCTGATTTTCATCCTGCGTTGTAACAATTAAAGAAGCTGAAAAGATAAATATAAATATATTTTAATTAGGCAATACATAACAATATAATTCATTCTAGGCAATGGAGAGTAAAAAAGTTTAAGTGTTAATTATATTGTGCGCTCACTTTTCCCTTGGTTTCGATGTGGTACAAATGGCATAACAGTTTTATTATTATTATTATTAGATCATAATAGTTTGGGAATACAAGTACAGTAACGTTCCAAAACATAAAAATAAAAAAAAAAATAAACACCATAAATTGAAAAAAGAGCAACATTTAAAAATGGACAAATAAGTTAATGCTTAGGAAGACTGGTGCTTGCTAATAGTAAAGGTCTCCCAACAACATAACCGAAATGGATATCAATGAAAATACAACATTTGATATACTGTATTTAAGAACATGCGATATGATTTATAAAGCATTATTGTGATGATACATAATTTAAAAAAAAAAACATTTTACAGAAGTAGAATAATTTTTATTATTTAAAATACCTTAATATCTGTCTTAGTATCATTTTTGTTTGCTGCTCTCCATGAACACCATCCAGCTGCTCTTTCCTTTATGTTCAAATTGATTATCTCCATGATGTATTTTGTCAGCTCGCT